GCTACTTCTCATTTTGTTCTAGGATTCTTCCTATTCGTAGGTCATTTATGGCACGCGGGACGAGCTCGCGCAGCTGCCGCAGGATTTGAAAAAGGAATTGATAGAGATTTTGAACCTGTTCTTTCCATGACTCCTCTTAATTGAGACATGAAATCCAATGCTTGACGTAAGAATCACTTTGATTTTAGTATACATATTGGGTTGAGTCGAGCAGATCATATTGAAAAAATATTTTGTTTTTCAATTCATTTATATCTAATCTTTTTTCGGGCTCGGCTATATCACCACTTAGCCGAGCCCAAAAAACCGAGCCAACCTAAATCAAGAATCAATAAAATAAAAAAATCCATTCGCCAAGAAAAAGGAGAGAGGGGGATTCGAACCCTCGATAGTTATTTGTTTCAAACTATACCGGTTTTCAAGACCGGAGCTATCAACCACTCAGCCATCTCTCCAAAAGCTAATTTCTATTTTATCTTTATTTCACTCAAGAGAACATGACCATACGAATTCATACCCTGTTATCTATCTATGAGAAAGATATCTAGTGTGAATCTATTGGTCTAGTTCTCTATCCGTATATATTATATATACATGATCCAGCATGCTCTTTTGTGAAATAAAAAAAACTACCCCTCGATCCATGCCTCAATAAGGGGTGTTATCTAAAATCAATGGATTCATGAAAAAACCCTCCATAATGATAATGTGTTTTTTATTTCTTTTTTGAAAGGGGTCAAAAAAAAGGGGTTGGGGGATCAAATGGTATAGTTCTTTTGTTGGTCAATTAGAAGATTATAAACATGACTATTGCTTTTCAATTAGCTGTTTTTGCATTAATTGTTACTTCATCCATTTTATTAATTAGTGTACCTGTTGTATTTGCTTCTCCTGATGGTTGGTCAAGTAACAAAAATGTTGTATTTTCCGGTACATCATTATGGATTGGATTAGTATTTCTAGTGGGTATTCTTAATTCTCTCATCTCTTGAAACTATTCATTCTAGATCAAAAAACGAAATGACCCCTCCCCCCGAATTCTTTCGGGTTGTGAGGCACATTAAAATGGAATATATAAGACCCCACACAGAAAGAAAACTAAAACATTTTTATTATTAATGGGAGGGGTCAAACTTCTTCTATTGGAAAAAGCTTATATCTTATCCTGAATATGATATATAGTAAAACGAAAATATTCATATTATTTTTTTAATATAGAATATACTAATTTGAATTCTATTCTAGAAAAAAATAAGAATAGAATATTAAGAATTCTTAATAGAAACGAATATTAATAGAAAATCGTATATTTCGAATAGAAAGATATAGATATTCCATAATCTATTATCTATAAAATATATATGGATTTCGACTTTTCTTGATCACTCCTAATAGATATCAAACACCGCTCTGCACAAATCGAATTGATATATCAAGTAAAAAGTACAATATAGAAAGTATAAAGTACAATAAAAAGAAAAACGCGGATATAGTTTAATGGTATAATTTCTCTTTGCCAAGGAGAAGACGCGGGTTCAATTCCCGCTATCCGCCGTTGCTTATGTATTGAATAGTACATTTATCTATCTATTTCAAAAATAGAAAATAGTGAATTCCAATTTTTATCAAAAATGTTGCGGAGACAGGATTTGAACCCGTGACCTCAAGGTTATGAGCCTTGCGAGCTACCAAGTTGCTCTACTCCGCCATAAGAAGAACAAATGACAATGAATGGAAAACAGAGATTGAATGTACCCCTCCACCATATCTGTACAAATAGAATAAACCATTGATACAGAATGGTAAAGGGACCGTCCTATGATCGCGGATCATCAAAATGAATAAAAAAAATGAAGATAATTTTTTATTCTTACCAACTCGATCTTGTTGCACCGGGCAACAAACATTCGTGAACCATTTCACGAAGTACGTGTCCAGATAATCCAAAGTGTCGATAATTACCTCGTGGTCTTCCGGTCGCAAAACAACGTCGATGAAGACGTGTAGGTGCACTATTACGCGGTAGTACTTCCAACTTTCCCTGAATTTCCCATTTCTCACTTAACGATTGAGCTTTGCTCATTTCTTTTTTTGGAGATCGTCGAATCAAATGATATTTTTGTTCCAATTTTTGCCTCTTCTTCTCCCTCTCAATTACACTTTTCTTTGCCATGCTGATTCATTTCCTGTATCAATGATAGAAGTCGGATCCTAAGATGTCGAAAATTGAAGAAGGTGGTTCCCCTTCTTCATACAAAGAGATTCAATTTTTGCAGATACAATAAAGAATCAAATTAACCAAATTAACCAAATTTACCGGATGTAGAGGCAATCAAGAAAGCTGCATAAGTAAATATATAACCTACCGAAAAGTGGACTAATCCAACCAATCTTGCTTGGACAATGGAAAGAGCCACAGGTTTATCTCTCCATCGAATCAAATTCGCCAAAGGTGTGCGTTCATGAGCCCATGCTAAAGTTTCAATCAATTCCTGCCAATATCCGCGCCATGAGATTAAGAACATAAATCCAGTAGCCCAAACAAGATGTCCAAATAAGAACATCCACGCCCAGACGGATAAACTATTCATACCAAAGGGGTTATATCCATTGATAAGTTGTGAAGAATTTAACCATAGATAATCTCTTAACCATCCCATCAAATAGGTTGAAGATTCATTAAATTGTGAAACATTACCCTGCCATAATGTAATGTGCTTCCAATGCCAATAAAAAGTAACCCATCCAATGGTATTTAACATCCAGAAAACAGCCAAATAAAATGCGTCCCAAGCAGAAATATCACAAGTACCACCTCGTCCCGGACCATCGCAAGGAAAACTATAACCAAAATCCTTTTTATCCGGCATTAACTTGGAACCACGTGCATCTAAAGCACCTTTTACTAAGATCAATGTAGTTGTATGTAAACCAAGAGCAATAGCATGATGAACCAAGAAGTCTCCAGGCCCTATTGTTAAGAATAGAGAATTACTATTCTCATTAATAGCATTTAACCAACCCGGCAACCATATGCTTCGCCCCGCATTGAGCGCCGGACTATTCGTTGAAGATAAAAGTACATCGAAACCATATGAAGTTTTACCATGAGCAGATTGTATCCATTGGGCAAATATAGGTTCGATCAAGATTTGTTTCTCCGGAGTGCCAAAAGCAAGCATGACATCATTATGGACATAAAGTCCCAAAGTATGGAACCCCAGAAATAGGCTGGCCCAACTTAAATGGGATATGATAGCTTCTTTGTGCTCTAACATTCTTGCCAATACATTATCCTCATTCTGTTCGGGATTGTAATCTCTAATAAAAAAGATAGCTCCATGAGCAAAAGCCCCTGTCATAATAAATCCTGCAATGTATTGATGATGAGTATATAACGCAGCTTGAGTAGTAAAGTCTTGTGCTATAAACGCATAAGCAGGTAAAGAGTACATGTGTTGAGCTACCAAAGAAGTAATGACCCCTAACGAGGCTAGAGCAAGGCCTAATTGAAAATGAATTGAATTATTGATTGTGTCATAAAGACCCTTATGTCCACGCCCCAATCTACCCCCCGGAGGAATATGCGCTTCTAAAATATCTTTTATACTGTGCCCAATACCGAAGTTAGTTCTATACATATGACCAGCAATGAGAAAAAGAATTGCAATAGCTAAATGATGATGGGCCATATCGGTAAGCCATAAACTTTGCGTTTGAGGATGGAATCCCCCGAGAAGTGTTAGAATGGCAGTTCCCGCGCCTTGCGAAGTACTAAATAAATGATTACTAGAATCGGGGTTTTGAGCATAAAGATTCCACTGACCCGTCAAAAGTGGCCCTAATCCTTGAGGGTGGGGCAATACACTTAAGAAATTATTCCATCGAACATATTCTCCTCTGGATCCTGGAATAGCCACATGGACTAAATGCCCTGCCCAAGCTAAGGAACTGACTCCAAATAGTCCTGACAAATGATGATTGAGGCGCGATTCGGCATTTTTAAACCACGAAACGCTCGGTTTCCATTTTGGTTGTAGGTGTAACCAGCCCGCTAATAAGGATATGAAAGAAAGAAATAATAGAAAAATAGCTCCAGTATAAAGATCCTCATTAGTACGTAAACCAATTGTATACCACCACTGATAAACACCGGAATAGGCAATATTCACTGGGCCAAGAGCACCCCCTCGAGTAAAAGCTTCTACAGCCGGTTGACCAAAATGGGGATCCCAAATTGCATGAGCAATAGGTCTTACATGTAAAGGATCCTGTACCCATGCCTCAAAATTTCCTTGCCAAGCTACATGGAAGAGATTCCCGGAAGTCCACAGAAAAATTATTGCTAATTGTCCGAAATGAGAAGCAAAAATATTCTGATAAAGACGTTCCTCAGTAATATCATCATGACTCTCGAAGTCATGTGCGGTAGCAATACCAAACCAAATACGACGAGTAGTGGGGTCCTGAGCTAAGCCTTGGCTAAACCTTGGAAATCTTAATGCCATAATGCTTTTCAAATCCTCCTAGCCATTATCCTACTGCAATAATTCTTGCTAAGAAGAATGCCCACGTTGTGGCAATTCCACCCAGAAGGTAATGTGTTACTCCTACAGCACGTCCCTGTACAATGCTCAAGGCTCTAGGCTGAGTAGCAGGAGCAACTTTTAATTTATTATGAGCCCAAACGATGGATTCAATAAGTTCTTGCCAATAACCACGCCCGCTGAATAGAAACATTAAACTAAAAGCCCATACAAAATGGGCGCCTAAGAAAAAAAGACCATATGCCGATAATGAGGAACCATAAGACTGAATTACCTGGGATGCCTGCGCCCATAAGAAATCGCGAAGCCACCCATTAATGGTAATCGAACTCTGGGCAAAGTTTCCTCCTGTGATATGAGTTACTACTCCTTGATCATTTATACTTCCCCAAACATCTGACTGCATTTTCCAACTGAAATGGAATATTACTACAGAAATTGCATTGTACATCCAAAATAATCCTAGGAAGACATGATCCCAAGCGGATACTTGGCATGTCCCCCCTCTTCCAGGGCCATCACAAGGGAACCGAAAACCGAGATTTGCTTTATCCGGTATCAATCGTGAGCTACGAGCAAATAGAACACCTTTTAGGAGTATCAATACCGTTACATGAATAGTAAATGCATGAATATGATGTACCAAAAAATCTGCAGTTCCTAATGGAATAGGTAACAAAGCTACTTTACCGCCCACTGCCACTAAATCACCACCGCCCCAAGTCAAACTGGTGCTTGTTGTTGCACCAGGGGCTGTTGTGCCAGGTGCTAAAGCATGAGTATTTTGTATCCATTGAGCAAAGACAGGTTGTAATTGTATAGCGGTATCTGAAAACATATCTTGAGGGCGCCCTAAAGCACTCATGGTATCATTATGAATATACAACCCAAAACTGTGAAAGCCTAAAAATATACACACCCAGTTGAGATGTGATATGATTGCATCACGATGTCTAAGAACACGATCTAATAGATCGTTGTATCGAGTAGTTGGATCATAGTCTCTTACCATAAAAATGGCTGCATGTGCAGCAGCACCAACTATGAGAAAGCCCCCAATCCACATGTGATGTGTGAACAATGACAGTTGTGTACCATAGTCAGTAGCTAGGTATGGATAAGGAGGCATAGCATACATATGGTGAGCTACAATAATGGTCAAAGAGCCTAACATAGCTAGGTTAATAGATAATTGAGCATGCCATGACGTTGTTAGGATCTCATATAGACCTTTATGACCCTGGCCTGTAAATGGACCTTTATGGGCTTCTAAAATATCTTTTATACCATGACCAATACCCCAGTTAGTTCGATACATATGACCAGCAATGAGAAAAAGAATTGCAATAGCTAAATGATGATGTGCAATATCAGTCAGCCATAGACCACCAGTTAGTGGGTCTAATCCTCCACGAAAAGTAAGAAAGTCCGCGTATTTTGACCAATTCAAGGTAAAAAATGGGGTTGCTCCCTCAGCAAAACTTGGATAAAGTTGAGCCAAAAGATCCCGATTCAAGATAAATTCATGAGGAAGTGGGATCTCTTTGGGATCTACTCCAGCATTTAGAAATTGGTTAATTGGTAAAGATACATGTACTTGATGCCCCGCCCAAGAAAGAGACCCAAGTCCTAGTAGACCTGCCAAATGGTGATTCAACATGGATTCTACATCTTGAAACCAAGCCAATTTTGGAGCAGCTTTGTGATAATGAAACCAACCAGCAAAAAGCATTAAGGCTGCAAAGACCAACGCACCAATTGCAGTACAATAGAGTTGTAATTCACTAGTTATTCCAGATGCTCGCCAAATCTGAAAAAAACCAGAGGTTATTTGTATTCCGCGGAAACCTCCGCCTACATCACCATTCAATATTTCTTGGCCCACTATTGGCCAAACCACCTGGGCACTAGGTCGAATGTGAGTAGGATCATTTAGCCAAGCTTCATAATTGGAAAAACGAGCACCATGGAAATACATGCCACTCAGCCAAAGAAAGATAATGGAGAGTTGGCCGAAATGAGCACTAAATACTTTTCGGGAAATTTCCTCTAAATCACTAGTATGGCTATCGAAATCATGAGCATCAGCATGTAGGTTCCAGATCCAAGTAGTAGTATCAGGTCCCTTAGCTATTGTTCTTGAGAAATGACCAGGTTTTGCCCATTGCTCGAAAGAAGTTTTTATGGGATCCCTATCTACCAAAATTTTGACTTCTGGATCTACCAAAATTTTGACTTTTGGTTCCGGCGAACGAATAATCATTGAGTCCTCCTCTTTCCGGACAACACATACAAAGAGACCCGCCAACAGAAAACATAATTAATGAACTTATGAGAGATGTTTATATTGAATATCTTTCTCTTCTATCTCCCATATATCTATTCTATATTTTCTTTAGTTATTCACTAGAACAATTATGATCCGGAAGTTAATCCAGGGCAAGTGTTCGGATCTATTATGACATAGCAGTGAGGTGCTCAACGGACCCTTTTATTTGACTGATGGGGGCAATAAACTATAAAAAATTCAATATATATAATGGATTCTCTCTATATTTTATTCTCTATTAAAGAATAAAATATAGAGAATAATATTAGAATTCGAATAAAAAAAATAAAATAATAAAAAGACTGTTCTTATTCAAAACGCCCTGTGATCTTCAACCAATTCTGTGCCTCAATATAATTACCAGGGGTAAGGGCTATAGCTTGTTTCCAATATTCAGCAGCTTGATCAAACCAAGATTCTGAAATTTCAGAATCTCCCTGTCGAATGGCCTGTTCTCCGCGGTCGGAATAGGTGAGTAAAATCCTTCCCTTAGAACCGTACTTGAGAGTTTCCTGACTCATACGGCTCAACAGTCAATTCTTTTGATCTTCTATTTTTTCTGGAGTTAATAACAAGAAAAGAGGTTAATTACATGAGTTTTAAACTTGAATTTGGATTAATAATTCAATTTAACCCTTTGTTTTTAGTTTTATCTTTTTTCCTACCTTCTGAAGAATAAAGCATCGACATTCACACTAACGTTCTTATTCGAATTTTCTGAAAGGTAACTATCTCGATTTCATATATCATTTCATATATTTCATATATGATATATATATTTCTATAGAATCCTTGAGAAAGACTTTTCTTCATAAGAAAAGAGTTACTCTCTTTGGGATCTGATACTACACCGCTGCTCAAAACCTTAGGGGATCCACTTTATTACATAAGTCGATTCCTAATCTATCATCATATAAGTAAGCAGTTCTTGTTGTATCGGCCAAAAACCTTGTGAATTGATCTTTACGGTGCTTCCTCTATCAATTAGATCTTTTATCCATAGAAAAAAGTATCTAGGCATATATATTCTATTTCTTCAGATTTTTACTTCTATGAAGTTTCTTTCTTTGCTACAGCTCATAAAAAGCGTTGTTTCGAACGGATATATATGTAGAAAGCCTATTTTTCTTTTTTTGTCTAGTATTTCTTACTATTAGTGGAGGTTCTTTTCTTTTTTCTTTCTATAGTGGAGATAGTCGCACGTAATGACAGATCACGGCCATATTGTTAAAAGCTTGAGGTAAGAAAGGGTTTCGTTCGAGTGCCCGAAAATAGTATTCCAAAGCTTTTGTATGTTCTCCGTTACTTGTGTGGATAAGACCTATGTTATAAAGTATATAACTTCGATCATAGGGATCAATTTCCAGTCGCATAGCCTCATAATAATTCTGTAAAGCTTCCGCATAATTTCCTTCAGATTGAGCCGACATCCGTTACGGTCGTCATTCGGTTCAAAGAATCTCCGTTCCAGAACCGTACGTGAGATTTTCATCTCATACGGCTCCTCCTTTATGTGGATAATGATAAACATCCATGGAATCCAATCAAAAAAGATTGCAATATTCTCATTATCAACTGAGCGGGACTAGTGTTTTTACACGAAATCTCTAGCCAACCTTTCTGTAAAGGATCTTTTATTAACATTTAGTAAGTTATTACTGGATAATATAGTAACTTCAACAATTTATTTGTCCTCAACGCCGCTTCATTTCCCGGAATTAGTCACTTCAACAGTCTTCGATGGTTATATGGGTATCCAAAATACGAACGAGATGGATGTTTATTGTCCCAACCATTCTAGTTAGTCCCGATCCCGATAAGAAAGGAAGGATTTTTTTTACAAAGTTTTCTCCTGTTGTTGATTCCCTAGCGTAGTGCTTCTTCCCCCATGCCGCCTATTGGTACTAGTGGAGTAGGATTAACCTAACCCCATACATAGGTATAAATAGGTATAACCTTTCGCTTAATACTATACTAAAATTGAAGCATATTGAGGATGCATTAATCGGGAATACACGACAGAAGGGATTAATCGTTTTATTTCCAAACTTCACCTTCAGCAAGCGTAGGTTTTTTTTCAAAATTTTTTTATTTCTCTCTGAAGAATGTATCTTTCTCCTAAGACTGAGATCGGTAAAAAAAAAGAATAATAATAATCAAATCGCACCATCTCTGTAATAAGTGAATGCCTCTTTTTCTCCAGAAGTTGTCGGAATTATTCGTAATAAGATATTGGCTACAATGGTAAAGGTCTTATCAATAAAATTTCCATTTATCCGAGATCTAGTCATAGGTAGCAATCCATTCTAAAATTTTAGCATGATAAAATAATTCCCCAAACAGAGGAATTGTACAATACAGTACGAAATAACGTAAAAATGGACTTCTTAATCAAATTACTTTATTCTACGGTAGGCCTTGAAGTAGGTTTTTTTTTCAAAAAAAAAAAAAATTCTTTCTATTTCTATTTTTTTAGTTTCAATTGATTGTGTGCGCGTACGCAAATGGGATATAAATGCCTCACTATTCACTCGGTTTAGGGGCATAATCATTATGTAGGAGAGATGGCCGAGTGGTTCAAGGCGTAGCATTGGAACTGCTATGTAGGCTTTTTGTTTACCGAGGGTTCGAATCCCTCTCTTTCCGCACCCTTACCAAGTTCATCAATGTTACTGACCTCAATGTTTGAAATAATAATAGATAAGATTTTTGTTTATGTAATATAGAAAATTGTGGATAAAGTGGGCAAGGAATAACAATTTTCCTATACCCACTTCTATACACGAATGGGGGAAAATACTCGGATCAAAATTCTTGTTATTTGAACTAGGTTTTAGTCTGACGAGAATAATATTCTACAACCAGCAATTCCTTAATTTTCAAACCAACCCATTGACTATCTATTATTTGATTGACTAATCCTTTATATTGGGATGGATCAAGAGTCAAATGGGTTGGCAATTTTTCGCGGGGGGCTGATTGAAGAGAATTTTGAATCAGAGTTCTAGATTTTTGTTCATCCTTGGCTGTAATAATATCTTCAGGTTTACAACGATAACTTGGTATATTTACTATACGACCATTAACTAAAACATGTCTGTGGTTAACTAATTGACGGGCTTGA